TATTATTCAGCTGTGATTTCATCCCATTTTGGTTATTCTGGTAAAACAGTTTTTAAGGGGTCACTTTGATAAGAAATAGAGTAAATGGTTCAGTTGTGGAGGTCATGAATACACACCCACTGGGCAAATAGAGAAAGTGCTCCATGTTGGATGAGGGGGTACTCCAACCTAGAAACAAGGTTTTCAACAATGACATCATAACAGAAGAAAAAATGTCAGCATTCTCAGAAAGCTGGAAGAACAGGGACTGTGCCGTGGAAAACAAAGAGACTGACAGCAGGCCGGGTGAGGTGGCTCACACCTGTGATCCCAGCACTTTGGGAGGCCGAGGTATGTAAATCACCTGAGGTCAGGAGTTCGAGATCAGCCTGGCCAACATGGTGAAACCCCATCTCTACTAAAAATACAAAAATTAACCTGGCATGGTGGTGAGCACCTATAATTCCAGCTACTCAGGAGGCTGAGGCAGGAGAATCTCTTGAACCCAGGAGGCAGAGGTTGCAGTGAGCTGAGATCACACCATGTTACTCCAGCCTGGGCAACAAGAGCAAAATTCCATCTCAAAACATAAAAAGACTGAGACCAAAGGAAACATAATCTGAGTAAAATTGTTCCCTGATGTGGGAGAGATTTTTTAAAACACAATGTGAATTAAAATATGATTCTTTTCACTATTTCTCATTAAGTTAATTGACAGCATATTATATAAAATGCTTCACTGTGTCATCCGTGTTGGCAAAAATTCACATATTCAAATTGGCCATAAACCTTTCTGAGGGTTTGTCTTTGGGAGAATGGCAGTGCTGCTGAAACGCCAGGTGGCCTTCTGCTTGGGTGCGCACAGTGCTTTTGCATTATTGGTAAACAAGTCATTGCATCTTACCCACACGTGGTTTCCTGAGCCGTGTGACTCCACTGGCATTTGGGGCATTAAAATCATAAGCACGGCCAGGTGTTGTCGCTCACACTTGTAATCTCAGCACTTTGGGAGGCCAAGGCAGGCAGATCATGATGTCAGGAGTTCGACACCAGCCTGGTGAAACCCCATCCCTACTAAAAATACAAAAATTAGCTTGGTGTGGTGGCCCCTGCCTGCTGAGGCAGGAGAATCACTTGAACCCGGGAGGTGGAGGTTGCAGTGAGCCGAGGTTGCACCGCTGCACCAGCCTGGGTGACAGAGCGAGACTTCATCTCAAAAAAAAAAAAAAATTATAAGCACACCTTGTGTTAGCCTGTTCTCGCACTGCTGTAAATGAATACATGTACTGGGTCATGTATAAAGGAAAGGGGGTTCATTGGCTCTTGGTTCTGCAGGCTTTACAGGAAGCAGAGTGGCTTCTGCTTCTGGGGAAGCCTCAGAAAGCTTACAGTTGTGGCGGAAGGTGAAGGGTAAGCAGGCAGATCACACAGCCAGAGAGGATCCAGAGAGAGAAGGAAGAGGGAGGTGCCACACACTTTTAAATGACCAGATCTCGGTAACTCACTCACTATGCGGAGAACAGCACCAAGTGGATGGTGCTAAACCTTTCAGGAGAAGCTGCCCCGTGAACCAGTCGCCTCCTACTGGGCCCTGCCTTCAAGTTGGGAATGCCAATTCTACATAACACTTCGTGGGGACACAGATCAGATACAAACCACATCACACTCTGACCCAGAAGGCTCAGTGTGTTTCGGCTTCGGATTCCCCAGTAGCAATCCAGCGTTTGTTTTCACTTCCAAAAGCTTTTCTACTTGATTACGTACTGTTTCCACTCCTTTGCTTGACCTCGATCATAATGTTGGCCTTTTATCTGGTATTCACACATCAAGCTTCCCTGTTGCCTCGCCGGTACATTTGCAGTGTCTTCAGTCCCTGTTGAGGTTGGTCTCTTTCTCCCCCTTC